GTGGCCAGCCAGCAGCGGCGGACACACGGCCTCGGACCCCGACCCCCGAACGCCAGCCCTTCTGGGCAGGGGAGTCTGGGGCTGCTGTGAGTGGCACGTGAGCCCAAGAAGCCCCTGCCCACACCGGTGCTGGGGACGTGCAGGCCCTGCAGGAACTGCAGGCCCTGCAGGAACTGCTGGCCGTGTGGCCCTCTGCCTGCCCCCTGCCCCAGCCTGTCACGCACAGCTCCCTGCACTGACCTAGGTCTAGAGAGGCAGGGGAGGCCCCAGCCCCAGCTCCATGGGCGTCTGCCACCTGCTGCCCAATACATGGCGGGCGGGCTGCAGGGGCCGTGGTGATGGGGAGGGCAGACGTGTGGGGTAAGAGACCCGGGGCCAGCGCTACAACCCCGACATGGGCAGCAGGGCAGCATCTGGGTCTGCATGCCAGGGGAAGTAGGCACCACCCCAGGCCGCAGCCAGTGCCGTACCTTCTCCTTGGACACCTGGTGGGAGAAAGGGCAGGTCCCGTCCGTCTTCTTGCACGTGCCTCGCACAAACCTGCAGCCCAGGAGGACAAGGTGAGGACGGGCACGCAGGCCCATGGCGGCAACAGTGGTGCGCAGGGCAGGCGGGTGGGCAGACCGTGGCGGCAAGGGTGGGAGAGCGGGCAGCACCTGGTGCACACGGCCACCTTGTCGGGGTCATGGATGTAGGGGCAGCGCTGGCCGCGGTGGCACCTGCCGAAGCGGTTGTAGTATGTGCAGTACTCCTTCTTCCGCTCCCTCCTCTGCTTCGCCTGCCGGATGGTGGCCAGGCTGCGCTGCACGGCCCGGCTACGGACAAGGCAGAGCCCGTGAGCTCAGGTGCCTGGAGCCCTACCACCCCACCCCAAGAAACCTACCTGGCCAGAAAGCGGCTGCAGCTGCCAACAGGGTCCGGCCGGCCTGTGGGGAAAGGGGCTCAGTCACAGCTGGCCACAGCCCGTGCCTCCCCTGCACCTGGCCCCAGGCTCAGGCCTTTCTGCACTGACCCACTCGGCCCAGGCCCTCCGCTGCTGGCACTCGGCTTGCCAGCGGCCCCTCCCAGCAGCAGCAGCTCAGAGCTCCCCAGGTTTAGCCAGCCCTCAAGGCCATGGGGCCATGTCCAGTGCCTCTGAGCTCCTCTTGGCAGTGTCCTCCCAGCTAGTGGGTCGGGGGTCTCCACGGAGGAGACGGCCACTCAGGGAGGACTCGGAGACGAGACGAGGCAGCATACCCCAGGGAAGGTTCGGAGACAGGCCGAGGCAGCCCACCCCAGGGAAGGCTCGGAGACGGGACGAGGCAGTGCACCCCAGGGAAGGCTCGGAGACGGGACGAGGCAGTGCACCCCAGGGAAGGCTCGGAGATGGGACGAGGCAGCCCACCCCAGCGCACTCCAGCCAGCAGGCCCTCAGCGGAGGGCCCAGCCACGGATTCTCCTCCCATCTCGCCTCGGCACGGACTCAGCAGAACCAGGGTGTGTCCGAGGCAATGCCCAGATCATGAGGCAGACATGCACAAGGGCACATGCTCTCACCCCACGGGGAGCGGTCACAACACAGGCCCTTCTCTATCGTTCCCTCCTTTTGGGATTTTGGGCACGCATACATGCACCTGGCATGTTTCTCAAACCACTGGGTCCAGGACTTGAACTGCACATTTGCCATGTGGGATCTCGGCGCCTTAGCCACCAGGTCACCAGCTGGCCCTTTACACTTTCCCTAGTAATTGCAGGCGGGTCTTCCTGTGCTTGAGCTGTGAGCCTCCTGCCTGAGCCTCCCGAGCTGCTGGGACCACAGGCACACGGGACCACGCCAGCCTCAAGGTGGGGCCTCCCGCACAGGCCCAGCCTGCAGCACGGTGACGCACAGCATCTCCGTGCCACCGCGCTGAGCCCGTTTCACGTCTTCAAGGGTTGAGGCAGAAACAAAAGGCAGGTGTGCAACGGGAGTCTGGCGGCAGGGCTGGGATCCCGCACATGGGCCCGGCCAGGGCTGCTGTCGCAGGGCAGGGTCTGGACAAGGCCAGCCTTGGCGGTTCCCGGCTAGTATCCTCACTCGAGATCTCGGAGGCGCCTTGTCAGCTCCTCCTCACAACCAGGTATGAAGGCCGAGCACAGCTCTCCCAGGCAGTCAGGGCCCGGGGAGGGTGCAGTGCCAGGAGAGGGCCGTCAGGTCCTGAGGGCCCCTGAGGGCCGAGGTAGGGAGGGGCTGGGGCACAGCATAAGGGTCGGTCTAACCACCTTAATGATTCCGTGGCCTTTGGAAGATGTGAAGCTGCCCCAGGCCGGGACGTGCAAGACAGGGCTGGGGTGTGCGGGCAGGGCCGGGGCGTGCGGGCAGGGCCAGCCCCTCAGATGAGCGGGCATGTGCCCCTCCCCAGGCAGGATCCAGTTGACAGCACGATAGCCAACACACACACGGCCGAGGCACAAGTGGCCATGGTGTTGCTTGGAAATCCCGAGCTGCAAGAGGTCAGCGGCCAGGGTTAGGAAGGTGTTCCAGAGCTGCCAGCCAGGGACAGCGCTTGTCCCTCAGCCTCCAGTCTCCCCAGCCCCAATGCCCCCCTTCACTCCCTGCCCCCCGGGGCAGAAGGGCAGCCTCTGGGCTGAGCGGCACCTGACAGGAGGTGTGAGTTGTGAGGATGGCTCACGCTGGTGGCCAGTGTGAGCAGGGGCTGGTTCTACTGCAGGGGTGGGCTGAGAACACGCATGGGGACTTGGGATGTGGGGCAGGGGGACAAGGGAGCTCAAGGCTGCCCCTGACCCTGGGGTGGGGGAACCCATGGGGGTGGTGGCAGGGCCAGGTCCCGGCGGTGGGCCTTGGGATGCAACCTGACAGCCGTGGGGCCCACGGGCTCCCAGGGATGCCCAGGCCACCCACTCCTGACCAGGGGCGCTGGAGTCGCATGCACAGGCAGGACCGACATTTACGCCCTTCGCACCGCTTTGCTCTTAAAAAAGAAATGCCAACGTGGCTCGTGTCGGCGAGCTTTGACGGCACAGGAGGCACCTTTCCAGACGCAGCGCTGAGAACGCATGCCAGGGCGGCCTAGCCGGGGCGGGTGCAAGAGGAGCTAGGGAGTTCGGCTGAGCCTTCGGCGGCCCTGGCAGCAGAAGGCGCCACACTCCAGATGCACTGGCTTCCATGGCCTTCCCAAAATAGACAGTGGCGCCCTCCCCCACCTGGCTAGGAGGGACCGCCACTCCCTCCCCG